GGAGAAGGGAGGAGCAGCATTTGAGGAAGTGTTTTCATCGTTGACTTAAATTGAGGGAGCAAACCACAAGTGTAGAACACATTAAAAAAATCTCACATGTAGTAGTAATACAGTGGGGGGAAAAAAAACCTTTACCCCGATCAATTTTGTGGAAAAAAAAGGTACTATATTAAAAAAAGTATTTAAATCCGTTTTAAGTTTAACAAGAAACAATTGTCACTTTTACACTATACTAGTTGTCTTTCTCAAAAACCTTTGTAAAGGTTTTAGCCTGCATATCCACATGATGCGGGGAGGGCAGCGGGTGACTTAGTCTGGGGCTCGGATGGTAGATCGGTTATCTTTCAATTGGAGAAACAGTTGTGTCATGGCCGAGGTACTTTCCCTTGACTTACATATGCAGTACAGCATAGGAAAGTCCACATCTAATCTAATATGAGTAAAATAAACATTTGAGTGAATGAGATGCACATGGCAGGCTGTTTTTCCTTAGTGTGATTAAAATATGCCATATTAGAGCACAACAAGAATCATTTGTGACACAAGAGGCCCAGAATCATCATGTTTTACCTCTGAGCTCACTGAGTTACAGTCAGAGCCAATTGTCATTTAACAATGTTTGTAGCCTAATTGTTATTAAAAGCAAATTCTAACAGTAAAGTCAGCAGCTAGAACAAGTCACTTTTTTCCTCTTTTGCGACATCCCTTCTGTCTGTAAGACATAAGTAATAGTGTGTTTTTCCAAGAAGCTGGAAACTGTAAAAAGTGCCGCGTTTAGGAGTGACAACTCTAAATGAATCAAAGTGAGCCCTTAATAAAGCAGCTTCTTTGGAAGAGCTCCTTTGGAACATCATGAGACTGAGGCAGTGAGGAGGTTTATGGCTGCTCTGAGGGCAGATAAAGAGCTGCCTGACGGATGCAGCCGGGTTCAAGAAGGCAAATAATAGCTAGCAACTCCCTGAGAAGGGTGCAATTGCATTCCACACATACTTGGATCTTATTTCCTCGTTTAAAAATCACTTCCTTTCCCTTTATTGTTACTGAATGTCAAAGTTGTCGCACAAATGTTTCCTTGTACGCTTCCATTTGCCCTGTAGCCTGTCACATGCAGACAGAGAAAGCAACCAGCTACAAAAAGTCCTGGTAAAGCCAGTCTGGCTGAGACTGAGCTCCTTACCTCTCAGTGGTTCCACGGCTGATTCAACGGAGGGAGATCCTGAGGGAGACTAGTTTGTCCAGATTAGCTGACCAGCCGCCCTGCATTTACATCCACCAGCTGAGTGCCTGCTGGGATGGGAGGGAGGTGGGATCACTGGGTGGCTGGGTGAATGACTGCCATTCAGCTGGAGGCAGCAGGGCAGGAGGCCACTCCCCCCTGTGAGCAGCTGACCGGCCGCCTGGCTGCAGGGATAGGTGGATGACTGGTTTACGACTGTTCACGAGCTTCACTTACTGACGGCATTCCCACTTAAATGACAGACATGCATGCTAAACACATTAACCTACTCTACACTAATAATTGTGTAACTGATGAAGTGGTTAAATTAGCAACCAACAAACTGAGAAGCAGCCCAACGCACTAACTAAATCATTAGGAATGTTCCTGTTCAGCCAACCAACAAAAAACCTGACAAAACAACTCACTAACTTCCCTAATTACTTTTTTTTTGTAATGCAACTGTAAATAGATAGTTAAGCAGAGGCATAACTATCCATTTACGATCTAACTTGCCAATTATAATGCCAAGGAATCTGTAGAAACTGATGACTAAACAACCTAACAACTCACAGCATGGGCTATCGTATAGCCATAATTTACAGATAACAAACTGGCAGATTAACCATACCCTGACAGACCGACGGGTTTATGAATATAGATTAACTGATTGTAAACCAACTAGCCGTATGACTGACTGGTATGTGGCGGGGGGGGGCAAAGATAACAACTGACAAATTAAGAAACTGACAAAAGTCAAATGATGTAGAAAAATAGTGCTCGACAACCTGACCAGCTGGATACAGATCCACTACAGTCCTGATAGCAGAAATACTCACCAGCTCATAACAGTGAGTTTTATAAAAGTACAAACCGGTAGACTGAATAACCCATGGCCAGGCTAAAGCTAGACCCATGCCATTCACTAGCTGATGGGTGTCAGACCAGAGAGACTGACTGATTCCCTCCCTCTCTGGGTGGTCTGCTGTGGAGGGGCTGTACCGGCCGGGTGGGGGGGGGCTAGACTGGTCAGGCAGCTAGTTACCCACTGCCTTTCTGGTGCTCTCCTCTCTCCTCTCAGCTACTTTCTGCTCTGATGTGGGAGTGGAGCTGAGCGACAGCAGAGCAGAAACACACACCCTTATCAGTGAGTGAGACAGAGCCCCCCCCGGGTCATGCTGCTGGAGGAGAGAATACTGTGTGTGGGTTGTGTGTCTAAATGTGCAGGCGGCCTACAGAAGCATAGGTAACTGTCGGGAATATTTGGGAGTCTTTGCATCTCTGGAAGCACATGAATAAAACAAAGATATGCTCTATAACATCCATCCAATGTAGGGTGGGGGGGGTGGGGGGCTGCAGCCTATCGCAGCCAAACTGATTTGCTTTAGATGAGAAACTGGACATTGGTCCTCAGCACCACAGAGGGAGTTACATGTGAGTTACATGGTGTAAAATCAAGTATTCATGTTCAACATTCTGAGACCGCTTTTTGGGACCCTTTCCTCACATTTGCCGTGGTAATATTTAGCTTTCCACTCTGCTGAAGTCTGCCAGTAACCACTTCAGCTTCATCAGCACGTTTAGTCTCAGGCGATAACAGAAAAGCCCAGAAGAGGAGCCTCCCTTCTGTGAGCTCATCTTCTGTCTGGACTGTCCAGACAGGCAGGAATCAGGCAGCTCGTGGTGGTGACATTTAGCTAACGCTAAAGGCCACCTTACCACAACACCACAAATCCAGATCCCTCCCTGGCTGCAAGGAGACATATTGATGCGATGCATCAGATTTTTGAGCCTGGATATTTGTTAAACAGGGTTTATGCAGAGAATGTAATATATCAACGAGAAATTAGTTGTTGTGGGGTTTTTTTCTTTACAGTGGTTGTTTGAGGTAATTTGAACCACTGTCAAAGGTTGCATTCACCACACAGAGTCCAGCTCTCTTTTTTCTTCTGGTTTTTCTTCCTTCATGTCTGCTTTCAAAGGCTCGGGATGTGCCAGAGGTGATGAAAACAGAATACAACTCATTTCAAAATATGTTTAAATGAAATGGGTTTGAAAAGTGTTCCTCTCCATATGACAGGATTTCCACAACAATGTCAATGCTTTTTAGTGTGTCTGGGAGCCTGAAGATTAGGGCCTCTACCTTTTCCCATGAATACAGAGAATTGCCCAGGTTCTCTGAGTCACCCAACATAATGTGGAGCATCTCCACCACTATTCAGTGACTCGCCCATAGTGACAAGCAATAAATGTAGAAACAACAAATCTAAACTACTTTATAGAGTAGATAAAATGCAACATTACCCCCCTAAAGGAAGTTGTGTGTCAGCCTCATTATGAGGTCAGTAGTAGCTGATAGGTTGACTAACCTGAAGACAGAGCTTATAGACTACAGAAGCTGTTTTTCAGAAGCATTTTCTTTTTCATAATTTCATACTTGGTTTACCATCTGACAAAGGTAGATAAACGCATGTTAATTGAGGCAACTTTAGCATCATGTTGCCTGTGTTAAGAAAGCACCAGGTTTTCCAGATCGATGCAAATGATGAAAATTATTGGTGAAAACACCACAAATATGCCAAGTGATTCATGACACAATTCAGTTATTTCTCTTAGACTAAAAAAGCCAAATGTGTAAAATCGTTCATCGTTTCTACACAAGTTGCGGCTTTGTTTGATGATTCATTAGGACTCTATTATGCAGACAGGGAGATGTATGGATATTATTGGAAAATGTTTTAAATTGAGACACCACCATTGTAGTTTAGTTAAGTCTGCAGACCATGTTGTGTCATGTGGAAAACTGAGTGCATACTTTACCAGTGGTAGATAGGCCTGGTGGACAGTTTTCACCCTGTTACAACAGAGAGATGCTGCTTTCTCGGACAAATCATCACCAATAGTCCATAAACTGGGTTATTCGCATTTTTATCCTGACATTACTCTGTAAAAATTATTAACAGTCAAATGTCAAAGACACACGTTTATCATTCTGTTGGAATCCAAAATGGCACTAAAACAACTCTGTAGTGAACAGTTCAGTCTTCCATTCAGCTGTGTTTAATCAGAAACTACTGGGAGAATGGCAGAGGAACGGTTTCCAGACCTAGCCTCTCGGACAACAACTAGTCAGGATTTTCTTTTTTTTGTCTTTTGTACCAAGAAATTTGGAAGTGGCACCAGATTTTCCGAGCACACACTTCTGGAAATGTACCGAAGGAGTCATTGGATAATTGTGAAAAGGGCAACAAGGCAACAAGGGCAAAACCAATCGGCTAAGACTCTGACATTAAGCATAAACATGCTCAAATCGGATGACAGCAATTCCTGCAATTACCGGTGAACCAGAGAGAAGCTCTTAAAAATTAATTGCTGATGTGTTGTTTGGCCTCAGTGGTAAATAACAACACACACAGCTGTCATACCAATGTAAATGAGTCTATATCAATAAACTGCATAATGCAGCACAACATACACACACCATTTACTCGCATACGTTTAAATAGCTCCACTAGCAGTGACTGCGTGATGGGAATTGTGGGTATGTGTTGTTCGTTTAATTGTGAAATTACACTCCCAAAAGCACAACATGGAACTTCCAGCAATTCTTATGTCCCATCCCACACTGCTCCCTCCACTGCGCCCTGCTGAAACGATTGCTGGGTTTTTATCAGCCAGATCAAATCAGATTCTAATGCCTCCATTACATGCAGTGCAAACTAAACCGATTTCCCAGGCAGAGGCTGGAAAGTGTCGGTCCTCTTTGTGGAATCATCCATTCTACCTCAGATTCTGGTGGAAGGGAGCAACTGCCACAGGTGCCTGCACAGATGGGCTGAAGCCTCTGGCCAAAGGTTCCCCGCTCAGCTGCTGGCTGAACCTCACAGATGCTGTTGCTAGGAGACACAATGTCAACGACGTACCCTCCAAACCTTATGTCCATCCTTGTTTACCTTTAGTGGCTGTGCAGATACGCACTATAGATATCTGCAATTCAATTCTGCCTAAAAAACATATTCTTATATATCCAATCTGACTATCTTCTTTAGATGAATCATTTTGTTTGTAGTAAAATGTATATTGAAAAATGTTCTCAAACAGTTTTAATGAGTTTTATGCATGAACGTTACACTTATCAAGATACTGAAAACCAAGAAGACTTTCTTAAGGTAAAGAAACAGGGAGAAAAGTCTGAACTAAACCAAAGGACACAAGAAGGGGACTGATATCTGTGGCAGCAGGTCTGATGGGGGATGAATCCTCCCCAGAGCCCGGAGCTCCACATTATTGAAGCAGTGGGGGATCATCTGGCAGAGAACGGAAAAAAGAAGATGTCCTCCAAGAAAGCTGGAGGATTATTCCAAGACAACGGTTCAAGAAATCAGACCAAAGCTTATCTAAGAAGCTCTGGCTTTCTCATGTTTCCAATTCAAATTACAGGCAAAATATAATTCAATATGAAACTCAATAACATGCTTAATATCTCTCAATTCACTTTTATACATCGTATTTCAATTAATTTTTACCAATTTCAAATAAACCCTTGCACCCCTTTTTTTGCACAGTGGAAAGGAGATCAGGAATCCTTACAGCTTGGTAGGAGTCATTCATTTTCAAATATAAAATTCTTCTTAAAGTCTGAATTGTCGCATTTACTTAAACTAAAAAGAAATCCTTGATCTAAAGTTTGTTGCACGTTTGTTGACAGGTACTCGCAAAAGGGACCATGTGACCCCTGTCCTGGCCTCACTTCACTGGCTGCCTGTATATTTTAGGATTCACTTTAAAATTCTTATGTTTGTTTATAAATCATTGCATAATCTCGCCCCGGCTTACCTCACTGAGCTTCTTCATCCCCACATACCCCATCGGTCTCTCAGGTCAGCAAATCAGCTGCTCTTGGAGGTACCGAGAACAAAAAGGAAGCTCAGAGGGGACAGGGCTTTCTCTGTTATGGGCCCCAAATTATGGAACGACTTACCTTTGCAGGTCAGAGAGGCCCCTTCTCTGTCCACTTTTAAAGCTCGTCTTAAAACTCATCTATTTTACTTGGCTTTCAACACCAGCGAGATCTAGTTTAAAGTGTATGTCTTTGTTTTTGAACTAATTTTATTTTGTTGTGTTTTTGGATTGTACAGCACTTTGTATCAACTGTGGTTGTTTTAAAGTGCTTTATAAATAAAGCTGGTATGGTATGGTATGGTATCAAAATATACATCATCGTTGGGATGCTGGTGATGCAGTTAAAGGCGACATTGGGAAGGAAAGAGAGGCTAACAAGTGTCCACCTGACCAGGAGTCAAACCCTGGAGACTTCTGAAAGCCTCCCACTTTAGGGACATCTGGACACATGTACGTGACCTCTTCACTGTCCATGAAATCACATTTTACAGGAAATATTTAACAGATTTGGATTAACAGGACCCTCAAAGTAAAACTATTGCTTGATACAGACACACTGGACCAGAGGTAAAGCTTAAGGTGTTTTTAAACGGACAAATCTTCAGCCGGGGCCATCAGAATGGTCCGAGCTGAGCTGGAGGAGGAAAACAATCAGCCAGTCACGCAGTTCCTATTACGGCCCTGTTAAAAAAACATCGCAGGAATGTCCTCTCCTATTTAAAGCTGTTTCCACATGGACAAACGCTCAGTGGAACAACAAGAACAACCGAGCCATTCTTATGGCAAACAACCCACTGTGGGCCAAAGGCTGGGAACTCAGCATGCTGACTCCAGCCACAGCTAGCTGAACTATCACTATCCAGGAGAAATTTGAATAAAATAAGGTAGACTGAACCCTCCTAACATAAATGAACACCTGTGCCACACGTCTTCCTATGGCTGTACAGCAAATGATGCATGACTCTCCTTCAACCGGGGTAAAGACGAGTTCAGCCTCATCATTTCTGTCATCCGTCTCACATTTCAATGAAAAATATGAAACTATGAACACTGTAACAACAACAAAAAAACTTTTACATTTTGGATAACCTCCCCTAGTTGTTTGGGTCAGACAGACTGTTTGAGTGTTGGACAAATGCAGTGTTAATAACACGGACGGGTCAAGATTTGTTTGAGGTCCATCCAGGAGAAAAGGGGTGTGGCCTGAGGTTCTTCCTCTCAAACTGTATTAGTACAAAATGAAGTACAAATCAAGTCAACATTTGAGAAATGCCTGGGTGGACAAATCTCACCTCAATCATCGACTACGATGCATTTTTCTTTGATACGATCAATTCAAGTTTTGGAACTGTTGAGTTTCATTCGATTATCTAATGCGATTCAGCAAACACTCAGACCTCCTAACACAGACTCCAGAATTTGGAGACTGTTGGCAAAAAGAATCAGAGAGTCTGAACTGAAACGGAAAAGCGCTCCAGTTCTATATTTAACAAGCCAGGATACTTCTAACATAACACACTGTAGGCCGCTGCTCTGCCTGGTGACCCAAAGTCTGCTGGGAAAACTAAAAACTAAAAATAAGAAATTATATTCATGAAGCTGAAACCACGCAGTGAGATGGACAAATGAAAAAGGGGGAAAAAAGGATGTCATGTTTAAATTATCTGGACAAAAAGACAAGGTTAAAGGCAGAAACTCTCTTCCGTTTGTAATCCCTGAACACACCCTGAGGAGAGCAGCCATTGTGGAAACGTTCAGGCATGTCCTGGTGAGACATGTATCTGTCACGCACGTTGTTGTTTTTGTGTTTTTTCCCCGGGCAGAACAACGAGGGGCTTTGTGGCCGGGCAGCTGACCGGCGTGTCCTGATGCCTGGCCCCTGCCGGGCGGGGTCAGCAGAACCCAGACGGTGAGGTCCTGCAGACGGGAGCAGGTTCTGGGGCGGGCAGCAGCTCCTACACCTCCCTCACTAAAGTCTAGAGCCTCCAGTGGTCAGAACGATGTCACAATGCAGCCACAAATATTTCAACTTCAGGAGTTAGCTGGCCTATTGTATGACTACTATGAGGAGGCATCTTGAATTCAGTAGCATTTTTTGCCATAAGTTGTTGCTCAGTTCACGTTTCATGGAATAAACAGACTTGAGCAAGCTTTTAAAAAATAAAATAATGGTTTTATTTAAAGTAATAAGAAAAAGATGAACGTCAGCCTTCCATCATTAGATGATGCATAACGTCATGTAATGATAACCTAATCTTCATCCGTTACAGCAACTGGACATGAGATCTGCACAAAACCTGGTTTCTTTTTTTTTCTTTTTTTTGTAAGAAACAATAAGAGCACAAATCAACCATGATTTGAGTCTGCCCCTGAAGCATGGGGGACAGTCCCTGAACAGGCCGGCTCCTCTTCTTCTGAGTGACAGCCCTGCTGAGCCAATCACAGCCGAGAGGCTGTAAATCACAGAGAGACGGGCGGGCCGGGAAGTGGGCGGAGCCACTAAACCACTTTACACATCCACCATTTTATGAATGAGGACACAGATATAAAAACCTACCCCCTTTTTTATTTATATCAGATGAGAAATTGCGATCAACACAGATGAGACTTTCAGTGTTAGTAGATTAAACCGTGTTAGACTTCTGAGGGTTACGCTAAATAGAGGAGGACATACAGGACTATTGCTACTGACTTTGGGTCTCTGGAGTCTCCACCACGTCCAAATATGTGGTTTTGGGTGTCTGTTGGAAGCATTGATTTGAAATCTATTGCAGCCACTCGTGGTCTTTCTGAAGCTCATCGATTGGTGGGCTGGTTTTTCTCTCAGAGACGGTGATCTCTCAGCAGACGCGGGCCGGTTTTGTGGCATTTCTGCAAACTGCCGGCGCCGCCATTCCTCCTCACATTCATCTGCATGAGCTCATCAATCCAAAGGAAAACGTGTGACCTTTCACTTAGGGAAGAGACGCTAAAGGACAACTTAAGGAGCAGAGCCGGGAGAGGAAGAGCAGGCTGTCGACAGCAGCGCCGTTTAAAAATGTATGAGCCCACAGCCTCAAGCAGGGTGTTTTGTTCTCGTGTGCGCGCGTGTGTGTGAGTGTGTGTGTTGCTGGCATTTAACAGCACGAGGAATCCATGAGGATGGAGTAGTTTTTGATGAGAAACTTTGGTAAAACAAAGTCGTTTAATTCTATTTGTGTGCTCAAAGACATACATCACATCTGTGCATGTGTGTGTGTGTGTGTGTGTGTGTGTGTGTGTGTGTGTGTGTGTGTGTGTGTGTGTGTGTGTGTGTGTGTGTGTGTGATTTGCCAGCAGACTGCCTTTCACACACTTTGGTGTTTACGTACATGAGAGAAAGAGGCGCCTGTGTTTGACTTCTAATAAAGTCCTGTCAGCTGAATCTCTGCGAATGAGTCACGAGTGCCCGAGTGAAGGGGAAGAGGAAGAGGAAGAGGAGGACACAACCAGGGAGGAAGCACTACAAGTTAAACATGGAGGAGGAAACGATTTTACAGAGCAGAGGGTGTTCCAGGAGGGTACGGAGGTGTTAGAGCAGGTTGAGATTAATAAATAGATCCAACTCATTAAAGACGACTGCAAAGAAGATAGAAGATGGAAAGGCACGGGGGGGTTAAAAGAGGAGGAGGAGAACGAGGGGAAGAGGGAAATGCAGTGAAAATAGGGGAAGGTTGGGAGAAAAAAAAACTAATAACTAGGAGGAGTAGTGTTTACTCAGCATATAAAGAAGTGTTTTATCACAGAAGTGAAATCTTATACAACAAAGATATTCTGGCATGAATAATAGTAGCAAAGGGTGCTTATTCAGCTGCACTGAGGGGCTAAATGTGCCTTACAAGGGGGTTTTTCTGGATAGAAGGATAGTTTTCTTCATTGGTAGATTCTGTTTGGATCTGAAACCAACATTTAAAACATAGGAAAATGTTTGTAGAAGTTAGCAGCTAAACTTATGGATCAAACTGGCTTTAAGGGCCTGCTTCACACAATCTAACAAACAAACTGATAACCATAAAAGTTAATAATTAGCCCCGCAGTGTAATTCCAGTAGAGCAAACAAACAAGCCTTCAGATCTGCTTCAGTTAACTTAGTTTGCTGCCTCTTTCCTGGCTCATTTTGGAAATACAGCTCTCTGCATCAGACTCAAAGCACACAGAGATACAACTCCTCCTTTTCTCCCCAAATGTCAGCCAACTCACTGGGCTTCTCTGAGAAGTCAGAAATGCATCAAGCTGAACATTCAACCAGTAACGCTAGAAACATTTATGTTCAGAAATGCAGATAAATTGATAGAATTTGAATCCTTAACCAGAAATAACATTCTTTACTATTTTTTAGAAACCAGTATAGTATAATAATAACATTTCTACATACTGGTATAATAAACTTTGCAGAAACATGCACTGTGTGCATGTGTGTCCATCTCTGTGATCATATGTAATTTATGTAACAAAGTACTTTTTGCAGTCAGGGGACTTCTCAAAACCATCTGGATCTGAAATCAAAAATAGCAATGCCCCAGTTTCAGGAGGGAGCTGCTAGAGGGACGCCACTGAACCAAAGAAACAACACAAGTCTTTGGGTCATTTCAAGCTACAAATGGCTCATTTTCCCCAATCAAATACATCACCTGTAGAGAAATGACAGCTGCAGCTCTATGAGAGCATCTGCTCCTTTAAACTGACCTCAGATAAAAGGTCCTGACTGGCCCTGTTAGCCTGGTGGGTGTTTGTTTCGAGGTAAACAGCACTGGGACTTTAATGAGGGATAGAGGCAGAAATGGAAAGTACAATTAGGAAAAAATGTGGACAAGTGTAATGTGGAAACAGGGCGTGTAAATAACAAGGAAGGAGGAGGAAAATGATTCCTCTTTGCTTTGTGTACAGCTGTAAAGTCCAATTACATCATTATAGCAACATACTTTTTACTTTGTGTTTTAAAGAAACAAATTAAGTTTTTCTGCTCGCCTGAACAACAACAGGACAGGATGGTGTTGGTTCTGTAGCTAAAAGAAGAGAAACTCACCTTTCCTAAAAGACCACCAGACCCTGTTCCAAAGGCCACCGTTTCTGAGCCCAAGGCCTGTGGATAAATGCCCATTCCGAGAAATTCCCCTCCTGTGTTCCTGTCTTTCTTCAGATGAGCGTGTATGTTTGGAGTGGGGGGAACATCCACAGTACTATTTTATAATCTGAAGGTGGGTTTAGTTAGGTCAATCATGCCCTATAGTATCTACACCATTAGAACAAGCACTCTTCAGTTCTGTTCAATTTAGTTACATTTAACTACAAGCCCTCCCCAGGCACTTTGCAGAGAAGATAAACAAGTTAAATACAGCCAACTGAAATCCACTTATCGTTCAATTAATTCTAAACTAATTTAATCTAAATATCTACTAAGTAATTGGATTAATAGAGTATAATGCAGTTGATCAAAAATGGCCTTGCTGTATTGATCTGCTCGCTTGTTTTGAGGATGAATTCATTCGGTTCCTCAGCATGTTGGGTGTTATCCACAAAGAGAAAAGAGGATGACTGAGGAGCAAAACTAGGTATCACTTGGTCAAAGTCAGGTCATCCATAGAAGGAAAGGGCCTTTTCCTCTGGTACCTACTCAGAACAGCTCAAATGAGTCATTTTGGCATTTTCATGAGGTATTGCCTTCCTAAACGGCTCAGCTTTAGCACCTGATGGCCGGTTCCACTGTATCCACTGTACTATTTTGAAACAAATCTAAAGGTTAGATATATGACAAAATCATGCTGGTGTCAGTCATGTGCCCTGACACATGCGTTAAGCTTCATTTCAGCTCCAGGCTCCTGACCTGGATCAGTCTTCCTGAAGATGTGAGACAAGCTTATTCAACTCTGAATGTTTAAATCCAGATGAAAACTCTTCTGTTTAACTGTGCTGATGGAAACTGGATGTATTTTATCTGCACCCTTCACTTTTCATCTTTCTAATTTGTATTATTTTTATTTTCTTGTTTTTCTGCTTTTAAATTTTCGGATAAGCACTTTGAATTGTCTTTTACACGAAATGTCCTGTAAAATAAACTTGCCTTGCCCATTTCTTTTTCTGTCTTTTTTCTGCCCACATATTGTTGTGTCTTATCTGTCATTCTGCAAACTGCGGCTGAAGTTATGCTCTAGGTGGCCAGCAGCAGGACTACACGCCAATAAATGACCAGGCTACCAACCCGAGCCACCCTGTGAGGAGTTCATGGTGCCCCGGGAACCATGTTCTCCTGTGACACCAACAACCCTGGAGACGAGTCCGGAGCACTGCGGTAGCGGCATCACTGCCATAGAGATAAAGTATAGATACGCATGGCGGTGTGCTAGCCCTCCATAAGCATCACTCCTCACTTTCTCCGGGGGCCACTTCGGTCCCTGCCGTTCACAGACTGCATCTGCACTTTCAAAACAACTGGCGCGTGAAAATTCCCCCATTCAAGAGTCCATTAACGGTTTCTGTGATTTTACAGGCCTCTGCACAACAATGAAATAAAGTAGGAAATCACTCATCTTGTTACTCTAAAGGTTTATTTTTACAGTTTGTAATTATGAGTTAAAGAAAAAAAATGTCCTAATGAATTATTTGATATCGTGAAAACTATTGGTACAGTTCCCTGGTGGCTTAAGGGAATGTCATATGCTTTGGTAAAAATACCACAAAGAAAGTTGTGCAACATAAAAGCAGAATTTACACATGAAACTGCCCTCGCAGCTGTTTGGGGTCTTTGGATTCACTCACAGCAAAATGTAAGACAGAATGGATGGCATTGTTTTTGGAACGCGATACATAACATTGGTCTTCTTTTAAAGCTGGAATCTTGGTATTGATGTGATGAAACTTGCCCCTTAGGAATCTATGGGATCTCTACTTTCTGTACAGGAAATGTTTGACTGCCTGTTTTCAGCTGATTTACATTTAATTACTTTTTTTTTATTGTGATTATTGTATAATTTATTCTGATGATATGTCTATATTTATGTATTCTAATAGGATTTAATACCTCCTTCAAGAGGTTAACTGAACTTGTAACACTTTTTAGCAGTATCAGTTTCCCACTTCTTGGTACAATGAAAGTAGTATGATTTAAACTGGGGATGAAAATGAAGTGGTCTTTTTTTAGATTTTTCTGCTGTGATGATATGATGTAGTGGTGTAATTCGGGGAGATTAAAACCACTCATACTGGACAAGATGTCCTCATATCTCCTTTCAATAAAGTTATCGTTGAAAAGGCCAAGAGGAGAGAGGCAGGAAAATCCAAGGAAAGCTCAAAAACACACACGCTGATTAAAGAAATCCGTCACCCATAAATCATTCAAGAAGATACAACCACGAGCCCACAGCCCCTGCTGGTCCCCGGAGCCAGTCGGAGTGTAGTAGGAGGGATGGCAGCAACAGATCGTGACCAGTAACTCTTTGCTCTTGGAAAACAAATCCTCTCCTCCTCCTCTTAGTTTTTCTCCTTTCTTTGCCTTCAGTCTTCTCTCTCCTCCTGCCTCTGTCACCAGGCAACAAGCTTTTTCTTTCTCACTGAGCTCTTTCTTTTTTATCCCTACTCCTCCCTGCATTACAGTGTGTATGCACACATATACACATCTGTGCCCACATGATCCATCAGCAATCTCCTGCTTTATTAGGCCAGATCACCAGATAAAAAACACTCATCGGGATTATCATTTAGATGACAATCCTATCGAACCAAAACTTTCTTATTGCTCAAATAAAAATCCGTTGCCTTCAATAATTCAGATCCAGTCAAAGCAAACAGAGTGTTGCTCTTCATCAAAAACCAACATCTCTGCATAAGAGAAATACTTGACAGGATTGTCAGTAAAACGTGTTACCTTTGTGTAACGCAACTTCTTTATCTGCACAAATAAAGAAAAAGGTCACAGTGACTATTTTATCCACCATTACCTGCATTCCAAAAATTGTAGAAGCATGTGGTTTGGGTCCCCTAAGTAAAGCTTTTCCATTAAGACACAGGTGCCACCCGAAAAATAAATCCAGATTCCACACTGAAGATGTCCTGACTCGCTGATTTCTTTCCTCCTTGGCTTTCATTTCATCACATCCTAATAATGTCACCCCTCAGACCTGACATGTGGGTTACCTGCTTTCTTGTACATTATTAGTCAATTCTTGCCACATTATTTTCCACTTGGCCTGCACGCTGGAAAGGTTCCCTACCAGATAAAAAACAGAAATAACTGGCAACATTAAACACTGGCACATAAAAACCTAATACAGTAAAGAGCCCTGGGACGGGACACAGAAAATACACTGCTGCACGCTGATTACAGCTAACGGCAACCCGGCTAACACGCTAACGCTGTTATCACCACCCAATGCTCAGTGTGATCCATGAAATCAGAATACCGTCACCCAGGAACAGGAACTACCCGATTTGCTGTTTGTTTGAAGTGTATTTATGATATAAAGTCGCAGCAGGATTCCAGCATCAGGCATCGCTGAAGTCTAAAGTCTGAATAGTGGAGATCCCCATCCGTCCATCAAACACCAACCAATGTGAGCCACAGAGGCCGGCAGGGACACCATCTCATTGTCTATCAGTTTGTTGAAATGCGAGCGTGCACGGATGCCCCTGCACCTTAATTACAGCGCTTTGTTTGACATGCCCGCGGCGCCCCCGCGCCGGCCTGACATTTCTGTGGACGCCTTACAGCCACCGCTGCTGCTCGCATTCATTATTGATGAGCTGCAATTAGTTTCTTATCGGCTTCTTCCTTTCACAGCGCACACACACACACACACACACACACACACAACTTCATTAGCAGATGAAAGAACGCTCTGTCCAAATCCACTGCAAACGGGACCCAATCTAGTGAGCAGAGTTATCTATAAGAGGACAAACAGGGCGACGGCCAGAGGCTCCGGAGGTGCCGTGTAGATCCAACGTGGCCCTTTTATCCGACACACTAACTGCTATCTCCTGGAACTGTTGAAGCACCTGTAATTTCTCAAGGAGTACTTTTAGTGTTTATCAGATAGGAACTCGGGCCACTAAGGAAAGTGAAGGTCAAGCTTTGCAAATGTTCTTGACACTGGATTTTAATACTCATAAAAAAATGAGCAAAGTCCCGAAGTATCCTTGATAGAACTATTTCTATCTTAAGTTTAAAACTGAAGAGCTGCAAGCGTGAGAAGAGTCTTAAACCCTGTTTGAGGAAACTCCTTCACAGATACTTAAGAGCCTTTTTGAACATGGAAATGTTCAGAGTGGTGAGGTAGAAGGTAAAATCCTGTGTGTACAACGTTACCGTTTGCGTGCTTTACAATGTTTGCAAGTCTAGAATTTTTTGTTTACGAGTCCGGATCGGCCAGAGAGGTGATCCAGGTACAGGCCACCATGATGTGCCTTCCTGGAGGATGTTAGGGCCTCCAGCTTATTAGCGTCCTAACCTGTTTATCGTCCAGCATCTACAATATTTAGCCTTAGCATTGAGATTTGATGCAGGCTTTTAGGTTCTCATGCTTCCATCCAGCCAGTTTCACTCAGAAAAACTGGTGGCGTCACTTTGTTCTGCAAAAAACATCTTTTAACCCCAACAACCGTCTGGTATTCTTCTGCTCACAAGGTAAACAGGAAAAAACTCGTTTTTAACTTCCCCTATTCTGTGAGGCTCAGTTTAATTGTGTGTAAAGACAATGGCTGTGCATCCTTTGACACACGGAGACTGACCCGTGTCACCGGTGTTTTCCAGAGAATCCCTCCGCCCTCAAACCCCTGCTCATCATTTTGTTGAGAGGAATTGAGGAATTCACCCAATATCTTGTGCAGAAAAGCAAATCTCCCTGTTCCCCACAGGAGAAAACACAGTCTCCGTTTCAGGATGTTCTCTGTTCTGTTCCACCGGAATGGAGAAATGACCAGGACAACTAGTACACAATGTGTTTTGGCCTGGACATCTCATGCCTCAGCAGAAACTCAAGCCAGAGCTCCTGGGAAGTCCTCGTAGCCCCCGCACACTGCAGCGCACCCCCCCATCACACTCCGCTTAGGTCGGACAGAAACACGACAGAGAACACAGAACACAGCAGCCTCTACCCTTCATCGGCCTGTCTGTAGAAAGGAACTGATCAGAATCCCCATCGAAGCATGCTAAAGGAAAGAATCAGGTAGCCTGGAAAGCAGATCCAAACCGGCTCATAAATGAGCAGCTCCTGTTTCATTCATCCCTTCACGAGTTTTTAACTCCGATTCCGTAACGTCTGATAATCAAAGCTCAAACACACAAAAGCAGGACGGAGCACAGGCTCAAACGGAGGGAGGACGGTGCTCCACAGGAGCTGCTGGCAGCAGACCTCAGGATTCACCATCAACTCACGGCCGGCTCATCTGAAAGAACCAATACTTCACATGATCAGATGTTTCCAGGGAGAGCTTGATGTTTAAATCCACAAAGACCGATAACAGGATTGGGTGACTTTAACCTGAGACGATGCTCTGACTACTAAATGCTATTCATGTTATACACTGGTACATAAGGAGTGTTCATTAGGTGCTGCATTACAGCCCGGGCACGATTAGCATCTTTAAATACTCCTGTTTGTCTGCAATGCTAATTTGTTGGGAATCCCCAGCAGAAAGGAGGAGAAATATCATCTATGCATCTTCCAGATGCCTCGGAGAAGAGGATGCTCTCTCCGGAGATAAATCAGCCTCAGCCTGCATCATTAAAACAGAAGGGCAGAGCAAGGAGTTGCCCATCATGAGAAGCTGTAATCCAGGAATTTATGAGCGAGGATAAAAGTGGAAGCAGCGCGGGGAAAATTTACTGCTAAGCTGATTTAATGTCCAGAACAACAGTTCTCATCATTGATCCGGCAGTGCTTTCAGATCCATCTCCTCCAGTCGGGACCAGACTTCCCCTGCTCCCCCTCCTCAGCCACAGCCTCCACCTGTGTGGCACGCCACAACTTTATGGTTTGTATACTTCACTGTACAGTCTTTAAAGAGGAAATTAGACTGGCTCAGAGCCCTTACATGCATCCCACCAGGATACAACACACAGGACATGATTTGAAGATCAGGCCTTTTGAATGTGGCTTTCTACTAAATTATTGTGTGTTTGTAACAAAGGGGGTTTCATTTCTAGTCCCAAACTCAGCTGGGACTGCAGTAAATATTGCACAGCGTGCACATATTGAACTTAACTTCAATAAACTGCACTTTAAGAGGCAACGCACATGAGAAATGGAAAGTTGTTTTTTGCAAACGTCAGTAAAAAATTGTGCGTATCAGTGGTGACATGATCTTTTCTGCTGTCTGTGGGGGTTGTGTGTTTTGTGTGGCTCCACCTGGAAGAGGCCCGTGTCCCCCGGCCACAGTAGTACACCGAGGACCTGATCAAGGAATGTGCACGGGAATGTGCACGGAAGCTGGGTGGATTCTAGTGCGAGCTAAAAGT